CCTGCTGAGGTACAGGCTTGTGGTGTCATATGGACAGTCACTTCCGAGACTACACTTTTACATGAAGATTACATGTAAACCTAAGCAGTGTCGTCAGCAAGTCTTGGTCTCTAGCTGATCAGGAAGTCTGTTTCACCCTGTCATGAGAAACAATTAGATGTCCCATTCCAGGATTCACAGAGAACTTTAGAAACCTGAAACCACTCAATGTGTCTTTACAGCACTTGTATCTTAAGTGCTTTTTCGGTTTTCTCTCCAGTGCCTCTTGCAACCTGCAGTCCTGAAGAAACCTCTTGCTTTGTTAAAGCAGTTAGGAAGCTCATAGGATAATTCAGGTTGAAGGGACCACAGGAGGTGTCTACACCAGCCTCTTGCTCAAAGTGAGGTCAGCTATGAGATCAGACCAGCAGGTCTTTATCCAGGCTTGAAAACCTAGTCTAATAGTCTTTCAGGGCAATCCTAAACAATCCCAATATTTTCTTTAACAACAGGCATCCTGTTTTCTTGACTTTTAGTCAGTTTTTTCTACATTTCTGGGATGTCAGAGTGAGAAGCTAGCAGAGCTTTAGCTTAGCCAGTCTTACTGGCCCGGAGACCGAAATACCACTCCCAGTCCTAACTGGGACATTTCTGCCAGTCTGCAGGCAGTGCAGAGCCACACAGATTTTGGGGTAACCCTGAATGGACACCCAAAATGTCCTCTTTAGCCATCCATTTTTCATCCATAGGACACCCTGCTTGGCACTCATCCCCTACAGTGTGTCAGCAGGGTTCAGGTGCAGTGTATTTGTGTGCATTTATCTTTTTGGGTTGCTTTTTGTGCAGGTACTCCAGAAGTGCCTCCTCTCCGGCTGGTGAATGGCCCCACTCGTTGTGCCGGGAGAGTTGAGGTACTTCATAGCCAGCAGTGGGGGACGATCTGTGACGACAGCTGGGACTTGAGCGATGCTGCAGTAGTGTGCCAGCAGCTGGGCTGTGGGACCGCCATGTCTGCCCCAGGTTCAGCTTATTTTGGGCAAGGTTTTGGCCGTATCTGGTTGGATGATGTGAAATGCTCCGGTAGAGAATCAGCCCTCTCCGACTGTGCAGCGAGGCCTTGGGGAGTCCATAACTGTAATCACGGAGAAGATGCAGGCATCGTATGCTCAGGTAACCTTCATCCATGTCCTGTCCTACTAGGCTTTAGTCAATACTAAGCTTCTAGGCCGGATGTTGGGGCTGGTCGCTCTTTGTTCTTTCCCAGTCTAACCTTCTTGTCTTAGACAAGTACCAAGGGTGACATTGGAGGCGTGGAATTGGAGCTTGGTGTTTTGAGGGATGATTCCCATCTCTCCATGTGGCAGCACATTTTTCCTATTTGCTTTTTTAAAATATCACTAAATATTATATGCACATTAGTAACTTTCAGTGGCTTGTCAGGCTAAAGCAAGCTGCTTTTACAGGTCTGGATTGCATACGTTTCCTTCCAGGTGGGATCTAAACCTCACAGATGTTCCAGAGTGGAGAAGAGAGATGATATTGCCAGCCAACATGAGCACAACATTCATTTAATGCAAACAAAAGTGGTTTCTGAAGTCCAAAAAGCATGCAGTATACAAGCAAACAACGGAGACTCAGATCTATCACACTCAAATGCAAGCACCCAACTGACGTGCCCAAATCAGGGGCACCTTTGCCCTGGGAACCTCTTCAGTTAATGAAGAGATAGAGGCACTTGCATGGGACAAGACAGCCCAGCTACCCTCTAAATCACCTCAGATGCCTCTCACTGTAGAGAGGCTGTAGAAAGAGCTTTGGGTGATGTTGTGTCTAATTTGGGTACCTCTGTGGATGGTCCCACTGGCCACAATTCCTGCCACAAGACAAGTTTCCAGGCATTTTCTCTTAGAGGTAGAGGGAATATTTGGAGAACACTGTTGGGCACTTGAAGTCAACTTGAATCCTTGCAACATCTCACATTAGCATGCCTTCCCTGCCCAATAAGTCATAGAGTTCCCATGCCAGTTCATCATCTCCTGCTGATATTGCCCCTAATCCATAAAAGCTGTCTTGTGCTGATAATAGGGATATATTATACAAACATTTGGCTCTCGCTGTATGGGCTTGGACAGTCTTGAGTAGCTAGTACCCTCCCCCCGAGAAGTGTTCAGTTACTGCAGTGAAGTCCTCGCATAGCTTGCCCTCTCATAAGTAAGACAGACTGAACCTCATGGCCCTCTGAGAAGTTCCCTCCAAGCCCATTTCTGTGCCTCTTCTCATCTTCTGTAAAAAAAAAAAAGGTAAACATGTACCTGAACTTCCTGTTCCTGCGAGTCTGTGTGATGCTCTGTGTCGTGGTCAGATCACCACCAGCTTCACCTCATTTCTCCCCTCTCCAGAGTCACACTGCACTAGGACACCTCCTGAAAGCATAATGATATGAGCTGCTTTACACCTGCTTTGGAACGGGGTGAACTGGTTTGTGGGGAGGTGGGGAAGAGGACCCAGTCATCTGTCCTTCCCATAAAACTAGCTTGAATTGGCCAACTAACTTGGAGACGCCCAATGTCAATACTGCGCTAAAGACCTTTGCTCTTTGCTTCATTGGGATTAAAGTATTTGTATTGTGCTGGCAGGCACAAAGCACATTGCTTTTTGGAAAGCAACAAATCACACAAAAATTCTGTGTTGGAGGCTGAGTCTTGATTGGACATCCACCAGGTGGGAAATTATCCACCTGTAAAGTGCCAGCTTTAGTCTGTGGAAAAAAAAAAATCCCTATGGGGGGCAGTTCCTCTTGGTCCCTTCTAAGAAGGGACAGACAAACCTTCAGGCATAAGCTTGTGTTGTGCAGTGTTCACATCCCAAGGCTCTTATGGCTGCCCTTGTTACTGGTCTGAATGTCAGTGGAGGCAAACGTTTCTCTGCAGACCTCAGAAATTATATGCTGCCATACCATTGGTATAAATATTCATTCCCTATGGGGGGCAGTTCCTCTTGGTCCCTTCTAAGAAGGGACAGACAAACCTTCAGGCATAAGCTTGTGTTGTGCAGTGTTCACATCCCAAGGCTCTTATGGCTGCCCTTGTTACTGGTCTGAATGTCAGTGGAGGCAAACGTTTCTCTGCAGACCTCAGAAATTATATGCTGCCATACCATTGGTATAAATATTCATCGTATTCATTATCACATAAATATTCATCATGTTGGACCAGCAGCTTATGGCCAGATATGTGTTCTAGCAGCAGAAGTCCACAAGCATTTATGAGACAGCCAGATGTTCAGTTTTAGGAGAACTTTATTGATACTTTGTGATGTTTGCTTTTCAGTGGGAATAGTGTGTTGAGCTGGGTTTTCCATCAGTGCAGTTATAACCAAGTTTGTAGATCCTTCAAAGTATGAAAGAGAATGGTTTTGCCAAACCCTGGATCTCGTTATGGCACACTGATGGTTCGGCAACATCCCTGCCCTTCGCCTTCTCTGCTGAATCTTACTGGCCCATCTTCCTGTGGCAAGATGAGCATGGTCCAGTGGGGCCAGTCTGGCGCTTATGGTGCTTCTGGCTCCTCCAGGTTCTTGTTAACTGCAGAGAAGGGGAACAAGGTAAGGCAAAATCTGCTCCCAGGAACTCTCTGACATCAGAATTGCCTGCCAGAAGTGACAAGGATTCTGCTCCCAAAGAAGGTCTGTGGGTTGGGTTATACCCATATATTTGGGGCTGTCGGGAAGCCAACACCTGAGCTTTGGACAGGGTCCTGTGAGAGCCAGGACGGGACTGCATGAAGAGCAGACTTTGACCCTGATCACAATGTAATGCTTGATCCAGAGGACTGCAGTACATGGTCCTGACAGCATGTCCCTGTGCAGCACCCAGGTGAAATCCAAGACACTACAGCCCTGCTCCTCCATAATGAAACCAGCCAAAGACCCCCAGGGATTCCTTCCTTCACCCATGCAGGGCCTGTCCAAGCGTCTCTTCCAAGAAACAGGGCATGAGGAGTCAGGAACTCACCTCCCAAGAGCTTCAGAGAGTCCAACTCAGACATTTATTGAGTATTGATGATGTACCAATACAGAGGCATCTCTCCCCAGACACCGTCCTCCCCTTGCCTCCCATGGATGCTTGTCGTTACCTCCTGCCCTAGAAACTGCCCTACCTTCCCTCTTTCTGCCCTTTAGGAGCCTTGCCCTATACAAAAGTCCCTTGTCAGCATCTCCCCAGCAGGAGTCATCCCGTAGTCAGATTGTCACTGGTATGTTTGCCTCTGATCTGCTGATGCCCCTCTCCCACCAGCTGGTCTCACCACATCCATCCTAACCAGATGCTCTATATTCCTTACAGCTCCCTGCTGTATCCATTTCCCTGCCTCCATCAGCATTACCCTGAGCTGGGGGGAGCCTTCCTGCCCTGTGATTCCCCTTCTGTACCCTGCAGTCCAGCCTGCTGGCTCTGCTAGAAGTGTTTGACGCTGTCTCCACATCACTTCAGATGCAACAGTAATGGGTAGTTACCTGCACAAACAACATCAGCGTCCTCTCCGTGATAGCAGTTGTGTTCACCCCATGGCCTGGCCTGACAGTCAAAGATGCTCTCTTCTGTCCCGTTGCATTTCACATCGTCCAGCCAGATGACGTCCGGCCCTCGCCCATAGCGGGCACCTCCCAGAGCCGACAGTGGTGACCCGCAGCCCACCTGCTTGCACACCACCTTGGCATCCTTCATGTCCCAGTGGTCATCACACACGCTGCCCCACCGGTTCTCGTGGAGCACCTCAACTCTCCCAGCACACTTGTTCGGACCATCCACGAGCCGGACTGGCCCCTCCTCAGGAATGTCCACCTCTGCACCAATGCCCAGAAAATAAATGTTAAGGGAGCGTCCTACACACCTGTGCAAAGCTTGCCTGCTCAGCAGAGGCGCAGGTGTCTCCAAGCACACCGGAGATATGGCAAGGGCTGGGCTTCTCTGGGGTGGGAAGGAAGACAGAAAAGCCAGGGAGAAGGGCTGTGGGAAAAGGGCAGGAGGAAGCTTTCCTGGTCTTCATGGATGGCTCTACTGTGTGTCTGCTTCAAGGAGTCTGCTGATGCTAATCAACCTGCAGCCCAGAGGTGGGACAAGGAACCAGAGCAGTCTCAGGTCGGAGAGGATTTAATGCTGCCTCTGGGTCAGCTACATCCATGTGCCCCCCCGGGTCATTGGGCAAGCACTCCACCCAGCAATCGGATGAATTAATCGGCTGCGTCCCTCTCGTTCCCAGCAGCAGACATCGACAGAGCTGCACTGGGGCTCAGGACCCACCTTGGTTCAGGCAGGGGCCATGTGTGTGGTGGGATCTGCCCATCCTACTGCCCAGCACGTGCAGGATGGGGGGCGGGGGGGCGGGGGTTACCTGAGCACTCCACGCTGGCA